AAGAATAAACAAATAAATGAGTAAATATCAGCTAATCTCGTAAGTACGTAGATGACTAAATAATACGTCTCAAACAGATTCGTGCGTATTGTCCTTTCCAAACCCTAAACAAACATCTGCTTGCATGGATAAAAGCACCTGAAATCAGAATTTACACCTTTCCACCACCTCTGCGTAGGAGCGTAATGCACGGCGCACACTCGGACCAAATCGATCAGTGATAGCCGAGCTCCTCTTTCACTCATTTGAAGGGAAATATGTGTTTTGAAGGCACACTGAAGTTTCCGAAGGTGTATCCTCACAATGGCACAAGGAGTCGATTTTTCGGGTGGGTCAGAGGGTAGCGCGTCTGTGACCCATCTAAAATATCTCCTGAACTAGCGGGTCTTCAGGAAAACTGTAAAGCTTATTGGAAAGAGAAAAGATAGGGCGGTTTCAAGACGATTTTAATCCTGATGAAATTGCGTTCGAAATAAGTAATCCTCGTGTGAAGCATAAAAACCCGCTTGCCATTTACCCCTAGCCGATCCGAAACCCATCCGAAATATTTCACGAACGGGGAAACATTCAGATTGCAACTGGGTAGAAAACGCAACAGTAGGAACATTCCTTTGCATGCTGCTAACCATTCATCAAAAGCCGCGCCCCTAAAAGAGATATAACCCCCCGAAAAGACCCCAGGACGTTGGCAGGTCCAAACCGCGCTCCAATGACGTTTTTCCAATGAAAGCGGTCGCAACGTTGCGATCGATAATAGCCAAGTATAGAACGATATACTGCCGCCTGGTTATCCATTTTTTTCATTTGGCTCCGCATTTTTTTGTATTTTTCATGTTTCGCTTTGTTGTGTCGTGCATGTTTTCATGATTTCCCCGTCACCATTCATTGAATGCACATCTGGGGCCTGACACGCTGACCTTGGGGCTATTTTTTTCACCAAAATGATCACCATTAGTCGCTGTTTCGATTGTGTTCCTTGTTACAAGTTGCACGTCATACATGGTTGTCGAACGACGAGTTTTATTTTGAATCCTGAGACAAAATTGTAGGCAATGCGAGGCAGACACATCGGAATGGCAGCAACATTGGACACCCAGCTCACACACCATTTGCTCTCCACAACAGGAGTGAAGATCGGTGGCGGAGAACTAATGATGTATGTGAGCCGAATGCTGAGAACCGCTACATTCCAAAGGAGAACTCAGCGCTATAGTGAAATGGTATACTCAACATACAGCATGTCGGCAGACAGCAGTGAGGTCACAGACAGGAAACGCCATCGCGTTGTGATCATTTCCTGAAAAACTACGACCTCCCTGATTCCATCCTCAAATACGACCTCCCATGCTACCTAGCACTATCCCAGATTTTCACAACTTCCTACAGCCCTCTCCATTTTTTACCGCAAAATTTCCAATTCTTCAGCCAAGAGTCTTCCATCGAGGAGAGGTATATACCCAATGTGGAACAGGAAAATTTCTCAGATTTCCCTAACCTCCTACCAGTTTTTCCGAAATTTCCCTTCTGGTTTTTCCCCAAAATTTCGCTGTCGAGGGGGGGGGATGGGGGAGGTTGTCAGGACTTAACTACCATCTTCAACTGTAGGAAATAGTAGTTGTTTAGATCTTTGGCAGTCCCTCTCTCAACAACGGCAAGATACGACCCCTTACAACCCCCCCCCCCCTTTTATATCGCCCCCCCCCCCCCCCCCCCTCCGTGAAACTAAGAAAAATCAACTACCACTAAAATTTTTCCTTAGACCAAATACGAGCCCTCCCGCTTCCCTCGCGGTTAATACGACCCCTCCTTGGATCAACAAGGCCTGGTCTCAGAGAAGAAGACTTCTGAATGGAACGAGGACAAGAAGCGTGACCCAACCACGCTAGCACTAAGCGTCCGGTCCCAACCGCTAAAGTAATAACCAAGGATGCTCGACCGCTATATTTCCGATATTGAAGGGAGATCAGTAGAGCCGAGAAAATGATCCTCGATGAAAAGGTGCAGAACACCGTGAACTTCTCGAATACATTTGATATTGCAATGGATAAGATGGAGAAGAGATTGCTCAGTGCCATTGCCAATATGACTAAAAAACAAGATCAGTCCCAGGCTGAAGCAATGAGCCACAGTAAAAGACGACGTGGCAGTGAAGACGTGCAGGTTGAAGCTCCAGCAAAGTCACTTTGTTCTCTGACGATGACTATGTGACCAAACTAATCGAAGAAAACAGAGAAAGCGAAAATGACTCTTCGCAGGATAAGAAAGAAGAGCAACATCGAGGAGGAACGGGAGCCAAAACAAGAAGAAGACGAGCGGCAGAAGAAAGAAGAAGAGCAGAAGCAAGAAGAAGAGGAAAAGGAACGACGTAGACATAAGCAAGAGGAAGAAGAGCGATACCGAAGAGAACAAGAGCAAGAGGCAAGGCGAAAATATGAGGAGCGACAGAGGCAAGAAAGGGAAGAAGAAGAACAATATCGTAGGCGTCAGCAGCAGGAAGAAGAACAATATAGACAGGAAGCAGAAAGAGAACGTCGTCAATACATCGAAACTCTAGAGCGAGAACTAGACGAACTGTACAGGGGACGGTTCCTGATACCACAAAGATTGGCGAAGGAGGTGGCTATTACAGTTATATCACATACGTTTGTTGCAAAGGCTATGGACAGCGTTATTCCAAATCTTGCCATTCAGTAACCGGCGGCAACGAACGTTTCCAATACATTCGTCAGGAAAATCTCTGTCAATATTGCCTGGGAGACGATCACGATTACAATAACTGTAGGGCGGCTGGAAAGCAGTGCTGGTACTGTGAGATTGTACGAAATACACCACTCAGATTTTCTGATCTACGACGATGGCGGTCATCACCGAGCACTCTGCAATATCCCTGATTCAAGAGATCGGGTGTCGAGAAGGATCAACGGCAGTAAGGGACCGCCCACATGAAGTGAAATATCAATAAAGTCTGCCGGAGTGTAGCTACAGGCTACCTTTGTACATATGTATATAATTAGAGCACTTCATTAGTCATCTGACATATTCTTTAGTGAGTTGGTCAACTTCTTCATATTGATCAATTGATGATTCCAGGAAATGTTTTCAACCCTCAGCTGGCGAAGGAGAACTGTTTTTTCATGGGCCAGCTGCACCGGAGGCAACGGTCCTCACTGTATACAAGTAGCGCTGGCTGACTGATGGCACCTCTTCCTCCTCCACTTGGCTTCCTCTCGGCACCTTGACTTTCCAGTAACTCGACCCAGCTACTCGGCAGTCAATAACGGTACGTATTCTCTAATTCGTCAAATTCAGCTTTCAATCTCCAATAAATACGGTATTTCTAGATGGCATTCGTTCTCCAATATCCACTACTCCTCTCGTCTCGCAGTAGCCCACTGCTACGTAAGAAGATATTTAGTTAGTAGATGCCTAGTTTCTCTAGTAAATATATAGAAATATCTCTTCACAAATGAAGGGAGGCTTTCAAAGGAGTCACAGGGATTGTCCTAAAAAGGATGTTTCGCTGTACATACTTGAAATGTATCACCCACTCAGTAGCCCTCCTCCATCCCTCAGGTTCATGCAAAAATCCTTTTTTTTCCCAATTAAGGGATGGGGTTGGTGATAACTTTCCCGTCCGCGAGTGAATCCTCCAGGTGTACCTCTCCCGATTATTAGCGCTAAAATATCTGCAATCAGCGTGAAATTAATTATAAAAAGTTGAACACCGTTGACAAAACAACATAATCGGGATCATTCTTTAATCGTCTTCCATTCTGCACAACATTCTAGCATTTGTCATCGTGAACCGAGCAGAATAGTACACCCTGCGAAGAGAAAGAAATGGTCCTTCAAGCTCAGCAAAAGGCTAGCAAGGGAAGAGGTCAACCCACCCTGCTTTCTGTACCCGTTGATGCTTGAATGTCGCCCTTTTACATAGTTAGGAGGAGGAGTTATCGCACACATAATGTAGCAGGTTCGGTTCATTGGTGGACCGCGCCTGGGTTTTCTTGTGAAGTATAGCATCTGAAAACGCTTTCAGCGTCGCTGTAACATCTCAATTTTGCCATGGTTCTCTCGCAAAGCTTGCAACCTTACTTGTCAAGTTCGGGCGCTCGATGACTCGAAGGAAAGCCTGTGAATACCGGCTTCGTAGAGCTCCTCGTAAGGGTCTCTGCATCGGAGAAGTGCGATATTCATGTCCAAAGAGTTACAGTAGCCCTCGGCACAAACTTCTGGCGACATCCGAAGGTTCAGAAGAAACCTTGAAAAAGTGGCGCTCCCGAGTAGCGGTTTTAGGAATAGACCTAGGACCGCTACTCGAAAGCGGTCCTGTGATTGAAGACTGATCTTGATTAAAGGCAGCGTCCGCGATCAACCAAGGTGAAAAAACCCTGCACTGTACAAGATCGCGGAGTCCGCAACCACAGCGGATATCCCACTCTTGCGGCTCGAAATCGATTGATTGACGAAGGCGGAGTCAACAACGCTGAGCTGACGCCGCCTGTCCTGTTAATCCCGCCTCGAACAGTTATCAATTCTCGCTGGCATTGATGATCGCTAAATTCCTAGCGTTCGTTTCTTACACTGATACTTTGCTTCTAAATCACTCGAAATCAATCAATCGCTTGGCGACATGATTATCCATGTCGGCAGTCAATTAAGAAAAATCTATTAGGTTGTTCGGAAAGGAATGCGCGTTTGAGTGTAAAAAAATTTTTATTATAAAAACGAAATTAAACAAGGTCAATCTAAAAGATAGCTTTACTACCAAACAATGACTTG